TGACACCCCTTCTCATGTGTATATTCACAGCACGTTTATTATTTGTAATGACTACATCGTATTTTACAGTATAGATGTGCCATGGTGCGACAGGTTGGGCTGTATTAATAATCTCAGAATCTCAGGGGATTAAAACAGTGACAGTTTATCCTTGTCCATACTTCATGTTCATCCTAGATCGGTGGGGCCCCTGAACCATTTAGTCCTTAGGGGCCCAGGCTGCCTCAGCTTCCATTGTATGAAATGTCACTGGTCCCTGTACCTGGGAACAGATGTGGCAAATTGTGCAGTGACTCTCAAAGGATCCTCATGTGTATATATATATGATCATGTACGGGAGTCACTGAGCCAGAGTATGTATATCTTTTAATGGATAAGTACTGCCAGACTGCCCTCCAAAGAACGAACAAGAGAAACCCTGATATTCTTATGTACAGTGTCCTGTAAGATAAGTGACTGTCCTGGCCAACACTGGATATCATTAGTATTAAAATCTTTATCACTATTAATAAATGAAAATTGGTTATTTTAACTTCCATTTCCATAATTGGTAGTGTGTTTGAGATTTTTTTATATAGACTTTGTTCTCTCTGCTTCCTTTTGTGTTACCAGTGGATTTGCTATTACATTTAAGTACTTTTTTGCTCATGAGTTTCATTGTTTTATGCTGTTGATACACAGGTATACAGGGAATATAATAAAAGGTGTTATAAACATGGGTTCCTATAACTATCTTGGATTTGCACGGAATACTGGATCATGTCAAGAAGCAGCTGCCAAAATCCTAGAGGAATATGGAGTTGGAGTGTGCAGTACTCGGCAGGAAATTGGTAAGTGAAAGCTATATTTGGCCAGCTGCTGTTTTTGACCTCGTTTTAGTCAGGGACAAATAATAGTGATATTGACCTAAAGTATTAAGTATCCACACTTTGTCATGTCATTTAGATAAGGTGAAGAATGCTTTGTTTTTCTGAAGTGTGATGGATGATTTTAATGCTTTCAACACATTTTGAGATGTGTTTATCTTTCCCAATGTGTTATACTTACAGATTGTCCCTCGAAAAGTCCTGCCACTGTTTGTTTCATTTATAACTTTGATGTTGATTTCATTGGCTTTTGCAAATGTTAGTGGTTAAGAGTGCCACTTATTAGGATGTTGGGCATATGAGAGTTAATCTGCTTTCATACTGGTAAATTGGGGCTAATAATAATTGCTGCCTGATAGAGCTCTTTTAAGACTTACGTAAGCTAATCCATGTAGAGCACTTGGAACATAGTAGACAATAAATATAAACTCTTTTTATTATTGTTTTAAATTTATAAAATATAGAAGAGTAATAGCTTTATATAAAGAGATTCAATTTATTTTACTTCAGAGGAAGATTTCAGATTTTTCTAATTCGTTTCAGAGAACTGATAACCCTAGAAGTTACGAAAACTTTCCAAATAGCTATTACTGTGAATATCCCTAAGCACAGTAGATTGAAAGGACAATTCATTGTTAGTTATTTCTCAGGGTTCTAGGGATTGGCAAGCATAGTTGGGTGGTTCTTACCCAAGGTTCCTCTCACGGTTCACTCAGTGGTGGCTGTATGGCTGGAGACATATGAAGCCTTCTTCGTTCACTTGTTTCACCTAGGCTGGGGTGGCTGGAGCTCTGTGTGGCCTCTCCGGTGTTTCTTAGTTGGGCTTCTTCATACCATGGTGGTCTTGGAGAGTTGTTCATCATGCATGGCAGCAGCCCTCTAGAGCAAGCGTGCAAAGATACCTGACTGAGGCCAGGCACGGAGGCTCATGCCTATAATCCCAGCACTTTGTGAGGCCAAGATAGGAAGATCAGCTGAGGCCAGGAGTCCGAGACCAGTCTGAGCAACATAGTGAGACCTGGTCTCTACAAAAAATAAAGATAAAGTAGCTGAACATAGTGGCCCACGCCTGTGATCCTAGCCACTCAGGAGGCTGAGGCTGGAGCATCCCTTGAGCCAAGGAGTTTGAGGCTGCAGTGAGCTGTGATCGTGCCACTGCACCCTAGCCTGTGACAGAGTGAGACATTGTGTCAAAACAACAAAAACAAGGAGCCCTAGTTGAAAGCTGGAAGGCTTTTCAGGCACTAGCTGTACAGGTCCAGAATATCGCTTATGCCTCTTCCTGTTGGTCAAAGTGTCACTAAGGTCAGCCCAGATTCAAGGGTTGTGGGGATTGCCCTCCTCCAACTCCGAATGGGAAGAGTAACAAAGAATTTGCATCCTTATTTAATCTTCCGTGGCAACTCTGTCAACTCAGGAAATTTAAAACAAAATTAAGAAAGGAAAAAGGAAAAATAAAATTGTGCAGATTTTTGTATCTATTTATTTAAATAGATAGATACATGGATTTATAGATAGATAGATACAGGGTCTCTGTTGCCCAGGCTGGAGTGCAGTGGTGCAATCATAGCTCACTTCAGCCTCAAACTTCTGTACTCCAGCCATCCTCCCACCTCAGCCTCCTAAGTAGTAAGGACTATAGGTGCACCCCACCATGCCCAGCTGATTTTTTAAATGTAATTTTTGTAGAGCTGGGGATCTCTTTCAAGAGGCTGTGTTCCCCAGGGTATTCTTGAAATCCTGGCCTCAGGTGATTCTCCTAACTCAGCCTTCCAAAGCACTGGGATTATAAGTGTGAATCACCATGCCTGGCCCCACCATCTAATTTTAAATATTTTCATTCCTCCTAAAAGAAACCCTATACTCAGTAGCATTCATTGGATACTGTTTCCCTTCCCCCTACAAGTCCTTGGCAACCAGTAGTCTACTTTTTGTCTTTGTAGATTTGCCTATTTTGGACATTAAATATAAAAGGAATTCTATAACATTTGGTCTTTTCTGTCTGGCTTCCTTCACTAGCACAGTATTTTCAAATTCATCCATGTTGTAGCATCTAACAGCACTCCATTCTTTTCTATGACTGAATAATAATCCTTTGTGTGAGGGTGCCACATCTTGTTTATCCACTTATCACTTGATGGTCATTTGAGTTGTTTCTGCTTTTTGGCTATTGTCAACATTGCTGCTGTGAACGTGGGTGTACAAGTTTTTGTATGATGTATTTTTGTTTCTCTTGGGTTTATACTTACTAGCGGAATTGCTAGGTCATATGGTAACTCTGTGTTTGACCTTTTGAGGAATTGCTAAACTGTTTTCCAAAGAGACTACACTGTTTTACAATCTCTCCATCAATGCCTGAGGGTTCCTACTCATTTTTATATCGTCTTCCAGTCATCTTGTATGTAGCCCAACTTTAACCCTTGCTTACTTTGCTGCCTGTTCCCTCCAGTTTTTAAACTTCTCTAGGGTTCCATACAGTGAATTTACTTGGTTTTCAAAGAATTCCACTCTATAAGGGCATAGATATGACCTTCTTCTAACTCTGTCATTTTCCAGTTGTATTAGTTTCCTGTGGCTGCTGTAACAAAATATCAGAAACAGAGTGACTTAAAACAAAAAAAAGTCTTGTCTCATAATTCTGTGGGTTATAGGTTTGGGGTCTAGGTGTCAGCAGGGCCATGCTCTCTGATGCTCTGGAGAATCCTTCCTAGCTTCTGGTGTTGCCAGCAATCGATGACGTTCCCTGGCTTATAGTGCATCACCCCACCACATGGCTGTCTTCCTGTGTGCCAAACATTGTCGTCTTCTGGTTGGGCACAGTGGCTCATGCCTGTCATCCTGGCATTTTGGGAGGCTGAGGCGGGCAGATCACTTGAGGTCAGGAGTTCAAGACCAGCCTAGCCAACGTGGTGAAACCCTGTCTTTACTAAAAATACAAACATTAGCCGGGCATGATGGAAGGTGCACGCCTGTAATTCCAGCTACTTGGGAGGCTGAGGCACGAGAATCACTTGAACCTGTGAGGCAGAGGTTGCAATGAGCCGAGATCACACCACTGCACTCCACCTGGGCAACAGAGTGAGACTCTGTCTCAAGAAAAAAAAAACAAAAAAACAGCATTGTCGTCTTCTGTGTTCCTTCTGTGCATGTCTATCTCTGTGTCCAAATTTCCCCTTTCTATAAAGACATTAGCATCCCCCTAATGGCCTCATTTTAATTTGATTACCGCTGGAATGTCCCAGTTTCCAAAGAAGGTCACATTCTTCTGGGAATGAGGACTTCAAAATATCTTTCTGGTGGGACACAATTGAACCCATAACACTATCCTCCTATATATTTTCCATTTTCATTAATTGTGTTCAGAATTATAGATGTCCACTAATTAATAAAAAAATGAGCTTTTTGCTTTTATTTCTTGGTTATCCAGCTGTTTTGTGATGATTTTCAAGAGGAAGATGGGAGTAGAACATTTTTATTTCCCCCATCTTTAAAACAGAGTTTCTAACTGGCACTCCAGAAATGACAAGCCTTTTGATCTAATCCTGTGGTTAAAGGAGCATTGTGCAGTGATGACGTATAGTAAGGATACCTTATACCTTTATGGCATTTTATATTTTATAAAGTACTCGGCTGGTTGCGGTGGCTCACGCCTGTAATCCCAACACTTTGGGAGGCCGAGGTGGGTAGATCTCTTGAGGTCAGGAGTTCGAGACCAGCCTGGCCAACATGGTGAAACCCTGTCTCTACTAAAAATACAAAATAG